CTTTTTTTCTCTCCCACCTAGCCATTTACACACACACTGCACATTCAGATGCACATTTCCTGTGCAGGCCTGGGAATACTTTGCTTTGACTTTAACATCTGTGAAAGAGTTTGGCAGTAATTTCATTTTGAAGTAGTTGGAGTTTCAAAGGCTGGTTGTAAATATGACAGGGACATACATCCTTATTTAGTAGCCTGAACACACACACGCTGTGGATATTCCACACATAATTGTGAGATGTAGAATATTTAGATGATCAAGGGAGGCAATAAAATAGACGGCTAAAAAAGGCCAGAGAGCCTGCAAGGACCCCTACTGAATAAAACAGCGCTTCCATCTGCTTCCAATCTGTGTGCATGCATGGCAATCAAATGTGCATTCAATACTGTCTTTGTTTTTTTGTTGTTTTTTTTACTGGTATGTTGGCTTCTAATTAGGCCTGTCCAATGTAAACCTCTATTTCAGAGCCCATGCTCTATGTAAGATCCTTATATTATGTTTACTGGTGGCAGGTAAGCATTGTTTACATGTTGTGTATTTGTGAACTCTTCATCAGAACATTAGTCAGTGCCGTGTACTTATCAGGCAGAATAGTTCTCAGAAGCTCATTTTCTAAGATTACCGAAGAAGAAACGCCAAGTGTCCTTCCTGGCCTCTTGATGATTTGTGCTTTTGTTACCTGAGGGATGAAATGTGTTAGTGCTCGAGTTTGAGCACAAAAATGTTAGGGAGGGTTTAAATGGGTCAGGACATTGTGTAATAATAGAGAGAGTTCTAGAAAGCTCAAAGGACATTACCTGAGCTCGTGTTTGTATTGGGTTTAGTGTTTGAAATATAATATATGTGTTTTGTACTAGTGAGAGAGGTAAACTGTAGAGAATTTTTGGTTAAATATTAATGTCTTTATACATGCACATATATGTTACTATATTGTACACTACTGTTACTGTATATCAGGTGTTTTAATGTTTTTGAAATAAGTTTATTGCTCACCAGGGTTACATTTATTTGAAACAGTAATATTGTTAATTGTTAAATATTATAAACATTTGTAATAATTGCTTGCTATTTTAAAGTATTTAAAAATGTAATTTATTCCTGTGATGGCAAAGCCATGGATGCAGAATTTTCCAGTCTTCAGTTAAATTATTCTAATATGCTCAAGAAACATTTCTTATTTCTGTTGAAAACTTAATTCTTTGAAAAATAGAAAGTTCAAAAGAAGAGCATTTATTATAATGTCATTTCATTGTCACTTTTGACCATTAATTTCTCTTTCTGAGTAAACTTTTCTCTTAGGCCTACACTCTTCTCATATTTTTAAATGCCTAGTGTTATACAATGTGCTGTAACATAAATTAACATAAAATATTGAAATATTGAAGTAACATTATTAAATGTATCATTTGTATAAAATATAATGCAATATATATATATATATATATATATATATATATATAGTATTTTATTGTCAGCTAAAATATTAATAAATATAAGTATTGTCACCAAAGAGTTATTAATCAGAGTTTTGGAATTTAGGGTTAAAACCATAAAGTAAGTGTAGGGAAGTTGTTGTTTTATTACAACAGATGTGCATTGAGTTCAGTATTTGTAAAAAATAAATAAATAAATAAAACAATTATTTACGGCCATGTGTATCTGAAAACATTTGAAAACTCATATGGTTTCTCTAATAACTACTTAATCTGTTCAGTCAATCCAGCATTATGAATGTTATGCAGATGAATGTCCATGTCACGATTCCTGTCTTGTGTTTTCCTTGTCTTGTGTGGACTTTAGTTATTTCCTGTTCTGTGCCATGTTTTGTAGTCCTTTGTAGTTTTTCTTGTTTATGAGTTTCCCCAGGTGTTTCTGATTTACCACATCCCCTTGTTCCCTCGTTTAGCTTGTTTGTCTGTGTATTTAAACCCCTGTGTTTTAGTTGTTGGGTGTCGGTCGATGTTTCACTGTAGCGTTGTTTCTGAGTTTTGTTCCGAGTTCCTGTTTCTAGTTTCTTTGTTTTCTGAGGATTTCCCTTTTGTTTGTTTATTATCATTATTAAAACTATTGTGCTTGCATTTGGATTCCTCCTTGCCTCCTCATCGTTACAGATCGACCGACCAAAAATGAATCCAGCAGCACAATTGATGCGCCTCCGTCAGGGTGAGCGATCCATTGAGGATTATGTGATGGACTTTTTAGAGCTGGCTCACCTGACATTTATGGATGAATTATGCTTGATGGTATTCTTCCGCGGAGGACTGTCTGAGCCACTCAGCTATATTATGCCATTGCATGACCCGAGCTCGACTCTGGAATGTTGTATAAACATAGCCCTAGAGCTGAGTGGCTCTGAATTCATCGTCGGCCCTGCCGAGCCTGCGCTCCACGTCAGCCCTGCCGAGCCTGCGCTCCACGCCCAGCCAGAGCTTCACGCCCAGCCAGAGCTTCACGCCAAGCCAGAGGCGTTCCATGTCCCTTCTGCTCATCCAGAGACGCTCCACGTCCCTTCTGCTCATCCAGAGACTGTTCACGTCACTTCCTCCGAGCCAGTGTCTACGGACAAGATGGCCGTCTTCGAGCCAGCGTCTACGGACAAGATGGCAGCCTCCGAGCCAGTGTCTACAGACAAGATGGCCGCCTCCGAGCCAGTGTCTACAGACAAAATGGCCAAACCAGAGACTATTCACTTCACTTCCTCCGAGCCAGTGTCTACGGACAAGATGGCCGCCTCCGAGCCAGTGTCTATAGACAAGATGGCTGATTTAGAGACTGTTCACGTCACTTCCTCCGAGCCGGTGTCTACGGACAAGATATCCGCCTCCGAGCCAGTGTCTACGGACAAGATGGCCGCCTCCGAGCCAGTGTCCACGGACAGGATGGCCACCTCCGAGCAAGAGTCTCGTCCCGCCGAGACCGCCCAGCCAGAGTCTTGTCCCGCCGAGACCGCCCAGCAAGAGACTGTTCGTGCCCCGTGTGCACCTAATCTGGGGATTCACCCCAAATATTTTTTTTGGGGGGGCAATGTCCTAGCCACGGCCGCCCGAAGGGTCTTCACCGCCGTGGCCGCCCGAAGGGTCTTCACCGCCGTGGCCGGCCGAAGGGTCTTCACCGCCGTGGCCGCCTGAGGGATCCTCACTGCCGTGGGCGCCCGAGGGTCCGACAGCTCCGCCCTGGCCTTCGCCTCGTCCTGCTCCGCCCTGGCCTTCGCCTCGTCCTACTTCGGCCACGCTCTGCGGCCCAGGCCCGCCTTTACTACCTCCTGGTCCAGTTCCTCTTCTGCTCTACGGACCTGGCCCTCCATCCCGCCCCCAGATCCGCCTCTGCTCCACCTCCCACCTGGACAGTTTTGTTTTTTGTTTTTTGATTTTTGAGCATCTGGAATCCGCTCCTTAGGTGGGGGGCTATGTCACGATTCCTGTCTTGTGTTTTCCTTGTCTTGTGTGGACTTTAGTTATTTCCTGTTCTGTGCCATGTTTTGTAGTCCTTTGTAGTTTTTCTTGTTTATGAGTTTCCCCAGGTGTTTCTGATTTACCACACCCCCTTGTTCCCTCGTTTAGCTTGTTTGTCTGTGTATTTAAACCCCTGTGTTTCAGTTGTTGGGTGTCGGTCGATGTTTCACTGTAGCTTTGTTTCTGAGTTTTGTTCCGAGTTCCTGTTTCTTTGTTTTCCAGGCATTTCCCTTTTGTTTGTTTATTATCATTATTAAAACTATTGTGCTTGCATTTGGATTCCTCCTTCCCTCCTCATCGTTACAGTCCTCTCTTTCTCTCTGTCTGTTGATCTTGACATCTGGCTAGGTGGTGTTTACTACGAGTAATTCTTAGTAAATCCAATACCTAGACAGTAGTCAGTAGTCACTCTAAAAACAAGGGGATACCAAGGTAATTCATGTAAAAAAAAATAAGACCATGTCTTGAGTCTGGACTAATTAAAGGGACTGCTTTTGAAGGAGTACAGAAGAGAACATTAAATAACCAATTGGAAGTCCTAACTCCTGAGGTAGAAATGACTTAGACTTTAAAGAAATTCATGCTCTATTTTTGGAGATAGACAAGTATATTTAAATAATATCTGTGTTGATTTTGGGTAAATTTTGAAATGGTTGATTTTTTTTTTTATTTTGTTGATTTTGTTTATTTGTTTATTTATTTTTGCATTTTTGTGTGTGTGTTTTTCTCATATTTTCTGATCCGTCGAATCCTTGTATTAACCCTAATAACTGGGAACATTCTCAGAACGTTTCGGGGTTTAAACAGACAATCTTCTGGTAACATTAATGGAACATTTGTTCATACTTACAGTATCTCGTCTTTAAAAAAAATCTAGCACAAAAACACTATTTATACATTGTTCATGGAACTTTTCTGTTGTACGTTCGTTTAATGTTATTGTTACTTTTTTCTTGTTTCAGAATGTTTTTCAGAACATTCAAAAGTAATGTTTCCATAATGTTTTAAGGATGAATTGTTCCCTCAATGCTTATGCAAGAAATAAAAAACAACACTTGAACATTCAGTTAAAAGTTTTATAACTTAATGGGAACGTTAGCAAAACGTTCTTAAACAAATTTGTTTCATTTTCAGTTTTTGAAATCACTGGTGTAATGCGATCATTTTGTTCTTAGAGAAGTATTTTTATATAATTTAAAATAACTTTCTTTTTTTTAGTTGATATAATATTTTATTGTTTATTGTAGTGTAATGCAATTGAACTTACATTAAAGTTTAAGGTCAGTGTTTATTTTTCTCTCTGTGTGACTCTCTCTGTTCTAACCCAGCACCAAGATTATAAAATGTATGTAATAACTGCTAAATTATGGACTGTGATCTGTGATATGATCTATTGGTAATATACTGTTGGTGTTGTTTTTGACGTATCGATGATGTAACTGTCAATAACTATTTGAGCATATAGTTGTTTTGCTACAGTTATTAGTTGTTATTTGTGTCAGTTAATGGGCATAGATTTAATTAACTGTGTATGTTTTTGTGTGACAGGTGAGCCGGAGTTTAAGTACATTGGGAACATGCATGGCAATGAGGCAGTGGGCAGAGAGCTGCTCATCTATCTGGCTCAGTATCTTTGTAATGAGTACCAGGAGGGCAATGACACCATTATCGACCTGATCCACTCCACACGTATTCACATCATGCCCTCCATGAATCCTGACGGCTTCGAGAAAGCAGCCTCACAGGTAAACACACACACATCTTACACAATAAAAGAAGAATCTAAAATCTAGAATGCAGTTGTTACTCTTTATAAACTGTATGTGATGGACAGAATCATATTTAGAACAATGAAACAAGACGGACGAAGCTGCTACAGTAAGCCCTAGTCGTACAGTATTTTGGTTGACTAGTCTGGTGTTCAACATCTTTCAGCAGATAGTTGTTTTGTCAGAATGCATGGTGCTGATTTCATAACACTACTGTGGTTTACCACATCCTTCTGCAGCCTGTACTCACACAAGTGTGGGCTTTGACATTTCAAGACACAATTGACATGTTTTATACACGAGGCCATGGACTGTTAGTTTAACGTTTGTTAAGGGGAAACCAAGAGATTATTAAACACCTCGCTGGGATGTGGTTTACCACACTGCTTTACTGCTTCAGAAGTAATAAATCTCTGTGCTGACCACAAAGCAAACATGCGTCATCTCTGGGCTTTTGTGATCGTTTCAGAGGTGGATGGAAAGTCCTGTCCTGGCAACTAAAAGGTTGCATATTTTATATAGTACATATTTTATGAAAATGTCTTTAGAAAATGATTTCAGTTAGACAGAGAGGATGATAGAGGTCACAGATGAGATCAATTCTTGTGTCATTGATATGGGTTTGTTTTGTACCTTAAAGCAGTTGTAACGGTTGTATTCAGACTTCCTCCTTCAGTCAAACTCACTTTACAAAACTCTGGCATTTCCTGAAGCGTCTGCAAAATGACAGTATAACCTAAGTGATTTCCTCCACACCAGTCTGAAGCTTAGTCCCCATATCTCAGTCTGTTTAATTTTCACCTGTGTGTTATGTCAGTTGGCTGATTTTAGAGGGGTTGTGGACACTATTTAGCTTGAATAGAATCTTGGGGGAGACCAGCTAAAGTTTTTCAGCAGGGAAAACCCAACTATAAATTTAAAAATATACGTATAAACTAATACTTATATTTTTTTGTAATACTGGTTATTTTCTAAAAAATAGTTTGAATAAAATCAGTCTTCTAAATTTCTAATAAATATAAATTATTATAAAATATATAATGTTGATGATAAATTAAAGTTTCTTGAGCACAAAATCAGCATATTACAATGATTTTGACACTGAAGACTGGAGTATTGACTGCTGAAAATTAGGTTGTACTATAATTTTTATCAAACACAATCGAGCTTTGGTAAGGTATCATATATATATTATTGTGTAAACACACACACACATTTTGTTATTATATTTATGCAGCTTAATTTCATTCCAAACTCACAAAACCTTTTTTTTTCTTTGTGGGACACAGAAAGAGACATTTTGCCATGTCTTTACACAGCTCTTTTCCATAAAACATTTGATTGTGACTGTGGCTGTCAAGCTCCAAAAAACAAACACCAAACACCACAAAAGTACCTTAAAAATCACTATTTACTTTACTGGTATAGAAAAAGCTGCATAAAGATTCTTTAAAAAAAAAATAGCACAAGTGTAAGATTGCTCGTTTGGGACAAATTTTACTTACTAAAAAATTTTTTAATTTTTTTTAAATCATGATTGTGATAATTTTGCTAATGGCATTATTTATCATAATATATATGTGCAGTCTGGTGAGATGAAGGACTGGTTTGTGGGCCGCAGCAATGCTCAGGGGATTGATCTGAACCGCAACTTTCCAGATCTCGATCGTATCGTCTACATGAACGAAAGAGACGGGGGATCCAACAATCACCTCCTGAAAAACCTGAAGAAAGCTGTGGATGAAAACACCAAAGTGAGAACGGGTTTGAATGATCAACTATTTGTCCGAAATTGCAGCATGGTTTTAGTAGTGTTACACATTTAGGAAGAGAATCAGTGGTTTTGGGGCTGGTAAAATGAATGATTGGACCTGTGTGTATGTTACAGCTCGCACCAGAAACCAAGGCTGTCATTCACTGGATAATGGACATTCCATTTGTCCTGTCAGCCAATCTGCATGGAGGAGACGTGGTGGCCAACTACCCATATGATGAGACACGCAGTGGTGAGTAACCACACATGTATAGTATCTTACACAAAAAACATACAAACTTATAAAGTATAATACAGTATATATTATTATTATTATTATTAGTGAGCTATATGTGAGCTTTAGAGCTTAATTTAGATTACCTGAACAGCTTCAGAGTTATTGAAATAGTTATGTGACTTCTTTCAGGTTGAAGGGTTGCCTAATCCTATCTCCACTTCTAATCCTAACCCCTCCCACACAACTAATCCTAAACCTACCAAAACTAGGGGGGTAATAATTTGGCAGGGGTCAGAATTCGGCACAACACCGGCATATAAGATGCAGAAAGTTAGGAAAGCATTGTCAGAAGAACAGAGAAAGAGGAAACGGCAGACTGACCGAGCATAGGTGTAATTTGCGGGTGTGATATGTCACCATTGAAACATCTCGCGGCATGGGTGTACCAATACAAACAAATAAAACATCTCCAGGTAACTCTAGTAGTGCATTCATTTCGTTCGTTTGTTAAATAAGAAGCGATCTTAAATGTCTTTTTGAAATCAAGTGTCCAAAGTGCGTGTTGCCGCTGCGGATACAGTATTCTGTTGTGACGCGCACACTCTTAACACGGATGCGCGCTTCAATCAGTGGCGGAGACTGAGAGAGACTCTATATTTGTTATGGTGAAATCACAAAACCTAATGCACAAAAAAAAAAAAAAAAAACATGTCCCTGCTTGAAATACAATCACTAATAAGCAATTGCTTTTGATGAGGAAAATTAAACTATAAAACTAGTAGGGATTAGAATTAATAGGCAAAAAATTCTGCCTCTGGACCATTAAAGTTCATGGGTATAATAGTCGGATCTATGTATTTAATCACGTGAAAATTATCACCACTAACAACATTAGATCTCATTAAACGACAAATTAAACACAATGGACTATTGTATACTATGTAACACGCGCTGTGTGAGTGGTATTTACGACAGTAACGTTAAATTCAAGTACTCCACAGCGACTCTAGGGGGCGCTGTTTGACAAAAAGACGGGATTCCTGCAGTGCCCCTTTAATTCAAAAGTTTTGTCAGTAAGATTTAAAAAAAAAAGAAATTTATTAAGCAAGAATGCAATAAATTGATCAAAAGGGACATCAAATACTTTTACATTGTTGTATTGTTTCTATTTTAAATAAATGCTGTTCTTTTGTATGTTCTATTAATAATCTATTATAATAATCTATATCTATTATTCATTATTTCCTGTATTTCCTTTCTGTTGTCATTATCTCTGGTTATCGTGGTTACTTATTGTTTGATTGATTTAACACACCTGTTCCTTGTTTTGATCCTTGGTTAGTTGTGTTTATAGTTGTGTAATGCCCTCAGTTTCATTCACTCATTGTTTGGTGTTGCCTGTGCCATAGCACACTTTTACATTGAATTTTTGTTTGTGGATTATTTGTTTTTTGTAATCTGCTTTTCCTCACCTTGTCTTCTTCCTCTGACCGGATGTTACACATAGAATTAAACCAGGAACATTTATCATGAAATTTGATTGGGTGTTTGTAATGCAATTTATATGGTAATGACAGAACTGTGTCCTTTCTGTTTGTTTTTCTGTTTTCATCAGGTTCTACTCATGAATACAGTGCTAGTCCAGATGATCTGGTGTTTAAGAGTTTGGCTAAGGCCTACTCCAGCTATAACCCAGTGATGTCTGACCCAAACCGACCGCCATGTCGCAAGAATGATGATGACTCCAGTTTCACAGAGGGCATCACTAATGGAGGAGCCTGGTACAGCGTGCCTGGAGGTACAATACACAGCTTCAGAAAATCACTCATGTGGTGTCAGTACTACTTGTGCTGTACATCAGAACATCTGTATAAAGGAGTTCGGTGACCCAGAAATAGTGCTGAGATGTACATCTTTATTGATTTCCAGATTAAAATAATAATTTAGTTGTATACAACACAAATTAATAGTTATTAAAAATGTGTTAAATACCAGATTTTCAGTTTGAATCCCACTGTACTATATGGCAGAACCTGATTTTACCAGGTACAATATGTTCCTGAATCAGAATCTTTATTGATCCTAGAACAACATTCATATTGTTCATATCAGTTCATGTCAAGTTGAGGCATACAACCAGGTTTAGGTGCTTCTGCATCATAACGCCTTCAGAGTTGCCTATCATTGTCCTCTGATTTTAGGGATAACTTATGGCAGTGTTTCCCAACCCTGTTCCTGGCGGCACACCAACACTGCGTGTATTCTTTGTCTCCCTTATCAAACACACCTGATTCAACCCATCAGCTCATAATCAGGTGGGTTAATGAGCTGATGGGTTGAATCGGGTGTGTTTGATTAGGGAGACAAAGAAAACAGGGTTGGGAAACACTGACTTATGGGTATAGGGAATAACATACGGATGTGGTTATCATTACATTTTCTGACAGGAAAGTGGTTCCAGGATCAACTAAACATGTTGACCCAGCAAAAACAGGATATGCATATATTATATGATGCCATGGGTTAAAGGAGTAGTTCACTTTTTAAAAAAAAAAAAGCGTATGCTGATAATTTACTCACCCCCATGTCATCCAAGATATCCATGTCATTCTTTCTTCATTTGAAAACAAATTAAGGTTTTTGATGAAAACATTCCAGGATTTTTCTCCATATAATGCACTTTAATTGGGAACCAAACGGTTCAAGGTCCAAAAGACCGGTTTCAGTGCAAACAGCAAACTGTTCAAAGGGCTTTAAACGATTTCAGACGATGAATAAGGGTCTTATCAAGCGAAACGATCGCTCATTTAAAAAACAAACAAAGTTTAACTTTTATAAGCTCAAATGCTCGCCTTGCTCTGTTCTGTGATGCGCGTTCGTGACTCTCCTATTCGAACTCGTTCATCAAAATAAACAAATCTTTTTCTGAGTCAACTCGTTCATTTCGTTCATTAAATGAACCAAATGACACGAAAAAAGATTCGTTCATTTTGATGAAAGAGTTCAAACAGGAGATTCACGAACGCGCATCACAGAACAGAGCTAGGCGAGCATTTGAGCTTATAAAACTTAAACTTTGTTTTTTATGAGCGATCGTTTTGCTTGATAAGACCCTTATTCATCGTCTGAAATCTAAAATTTAAAGACCTTACAGTTTGCACTGAAACTGTCTTTTGGACCTTAAACCGTTTGGTTCCCAGTGAAGTCCATTATATGGAGAAAAATCCTGGAATGTGTTCATCAAAAGCCTTAATTTCTTTTCGACTGAAGAAAGAATGACATGGATATCTTGAATGACATGGGAGTGAGTAAATTATCAGCAAAAGATTTTTAAATGTGAACTACTCCTTGAATGTGCTTACGCAGGACATTTATTTCATAAATGCTAAAGGCAGAAGGTTTAATACCAGATTTGCAAAGGGACACCAACGCACGCTTCACCTATCACCAGTTCCAAACCATGACGATGTTCTTTCAAATCCCCACAGCCATGCTTCAAAATTTAGTGGAACAATTTCCTGGAAGAGTGGAAGCTTTTATAGCAGCAAAGGGGGATTAATGCAGATGGTTTTGAAGTTAAATGTGCAACAAGCTTATATAAGTGTGTTTGGGTGTCCGCATACTTATGGAAATGTTGTGCATCATGCATGTTAGCTACAAATAAGGAATTACCAAACAAAAATGGCCCTTCCTTTTCTCTCTATCAGGTATGCAGGACTTCAACTATCTGAGCAGTAATTGTTTTGAGATCACTCTGGAGTTGAGCTGTGATAAGTTTCCTCCTGAGGATTCACTCAAGCAGTACTGGGACCAGAACCGCAACTCACTCGTCAGCTACATAGAGCAGGTACACCCCGAGCCTTTGCTTTCACATGCCTGGTGCTGACAGGAGGAGAGAGTTGTTTTGTTTTCTGGAAAGCTCAGACACATGAGTCAGGATTAGAAGGAATTCATCCTTTTTGATCCCTCATGTCCTTCGCAGGTTCACAGAGGAGTAGCAGGATTTGTTCGTGATCTCCAAGGGAACCCCATTTCAAACGCTTCTATTTCTGTTGAAGGAATTGACCATGATATCACCACAGGTACAAACACACACACACACACAGCTATTTAATATTCATTTAAAGTCTCCGTGAACCGGAAGTTGCAAACGATTTTTCTCCCGTGCTGTGACGTATTTCCAAGTGAAACGGAATATTGAACAGAGGGCAGGGTTTTACTCTAGCGCTCCTCCTCTCCATCTCTCGCTCATAGCAAACTAACGGTTTGAAGGGAGTGGTTAAGCGTTTCCCCACCCAAACTGTGAAACCTACGTCATCAACCGTTCCAGACCGGAAGTAACTTTTCAGATTTTGATTAAAGATTACCAAGGTAAAACATTTTTTTAATATATATTTACTTGCACGGATTAATTGTTCACCACAAGACTAGTAATATGCGCTTACAAAGTAAATAGGTTCAATTTTGATTTCACTGGGACTTTAAAGGCTAGGCACCAATTTATAACTTTATACAGTATATATTTCATTATTGTTTCATAATTGATGAACTTTGCGGCATTGAAACTATCGAACTGAATTGAATTCACATTGAAATGACATGAGGTGAATGACGACACTATTAGAGCTACTTTACAGCTGACATTGAAGTTTTTTCGTAATTGATGAATTTTGCAACATTTATTTTTTTATTTAATTTTTAAATATTAACATTTACTTTTAATATAACACCCATTTTAATTATTGAAACATTTAATTAGAATATATATATATACATATGCTTTAGATATATACATACATATATACAGTACATACATACTGTATAGTACGTCAAAAGTTTGGAAACATTACTATTTTTTGAAAGAAGTATCTTATGCTCATCAAGCCTGCATTTATTGGATCACAAATATTGAAAAAAAATACTGACCCCAAACTTCACTAAAGTAAAAAAAAAAAATGTTACAAAAGATTTCTATTTAAAAAAAATGCTGTTTTTTTTGTTTACTTTTTATTCATCAAAGAACCCTGAAACAAGTATAACAGGTAAAAAAAAATACATTAAACAGCACAATTGTTTTCAACATTGATGATAAATCAGCTTATTAGTATGATTTCTGAAGGATCATGCGACACTAAAGACTGGAGTAATAATGCTGAAAATTCATCTTTGCATCACAGAAGTAAATTTTAAAGTATAAACCATTATTTTAAATCATTTCACAATATTATTGTTTTTCTGTATTTTTGATCAAATAAATACAGACTTGATGAGCACAAGAAACTTCTTTCAAAATTATTAAAAATATAAATGTTGCCAAATGTTTTTAATAATATATATATACAAATAATTTACACATTTTTTTAAATGCAATGTCTCTGCAAATTAATCTCTTATATAAGAAGGCTTTTAAAAAAAAAAGAATAAACAATACACATTTCGCCTTTATGACATTTCTGAAAACAATTGTGTGTAGGTCTGCCCTCTTGTGGCCATTGTTTGCCACTTTATTTGGAGATTAAATCGCTCTCATTCTTTTTTTCTTTAGCTAAGGATGGCGATTACTGGCGCTTGTTGGCTCCTGGTAACTACAAAGTATCAGCATCTGCATCTGGGTACCTCACTGTGGTCAAGAAAGTAGCTGTTCCCCACAGCCCTGCTACACGGGTAAACACAGACCGTCTTTCCCTTGCTCTTCTCATAATATCTCATTTCACCTTCCTCATGTCTCTAATTTCTCTCAATCCCAGCTGGATTTCGAGCTGGAGTCACTGGAAGAGAGGAAGGAGGAAGAGAAGGAGGAGCTCATGGACTGGTGGAAGATGATGTCAGAGACACTCAACTTCTAACTGACCTGAAGCAGAGCCCATCACAAGCATTCTGGGTGTAAAATATTTATTGTCATGTGTGTGCTCATAAACCTAAAAGAACTTAATTCAGCTTCTTTTATTTTATCTTACTTTATTTTTTATTGTTTTATGTTAGAGGCACTACATCTGAACGTATTTACAGTACAACAGCCATATGCACATTATACGATTCATACATGTTAACAAAGACAACCGGTGGTCTAGTTTCCTGCATACTTAGATGGTTGTCCTTGTAAATATGGATGAATACATATATTTCCACTAAATGAAATGCTGGAAATATCCTGTGTTTCCTGCAGGCATGCAAAGGTAATTACACAGAGGGAAGAAACACATAACATCGAGTCGATATTGTGGAGGCATTGGACCGATCTATTTCTCTTTTGTAACGTTGTGTTTTACATTGATATCGTGAGATTCTTTTGTTGCTATGGTCACCAATCACACCAACCTATCAGAGAGCACTGTGTTGTGATGAATGTTTATTCAGTAATGAATTTTACTATTTATTCTGATTATGACTGAAGCCAATGTAGACAGCACCCATTTACACCTGATCACAAGTCTGTTTCTGTTCAAACACTGTTTCAATAATGTTATGCTTGATGTTTTGAGTGGGAGTGCTTTTGATAAACCTGTTTCATTTACTAATGCTTTAATAATTACAACTTTGAATATCATTTCCAGACAATTGTTCAGATGGATAGAAAATGGAAGAGGTTATCAATTGAACTCCTATCTTATGTTTTAAGTATAGAAACTATATAGGAAATTTAAAAAAAAATTGAACATATGATAGATGATAGCTATAAATCTGTGTTATCTATGTTTGTATAGCAGTTTCATTTCAGATCATTTAACAGCAGATTTTAATGGCACACGCTAAACAAATAGAAGTTTATCTAGATCTGATGGTTTTGTAATCTATACCAAAATGCACAATTGTGCCCAATGAAGTACCATCTGCAGTCTTTATTGAACATTCTGTAATATATTGTCTTTTTTTTTTGTCTGTTTCAGTATCTTTATAATTCGCGTTTTTCTGTCCTATGAAAAGGCACATTTTAATGCAAAATCAATGACGTTCAAGTCTATAATCCTGCATTCAGAATTGGTCCTACTTATTTGAGAAATTTCATGCTCATTGAAATTAAACAAATTAAAGCTTAAACTTTAGATATTAATGCCATGAAATGGCATTTTAAAGCCAGCTTATACATTTGTCCTTTGAGAGTTCAGTGGTATGTCTTGTATATGAATGTAATGATGGTTTAATTGAATGACGCATTTCGCAACCAAAATAAACGTCCCTTTCTGTTGTCAGACTTCCTACTATTTTTCTCTTAATAGTTTCAACATAGGCTACTAACATTAGTGGTGATGAATAAGTGTGACAGCAGCAATAGGGTCTAGAAACATTTGAATGGTAATATAACAAGCAGAGAAAAAGGTCCTCAGGTCCATACCTTCTGACTGCATTATCCAAAAATTAAAATCATTCAACAACATAGTTAGGTATAATAAATGCTTTAGTTTAGGGTACAATTCTCACAGCTTATTGGCATGCGTATTACCAGGATATTGGCTGTTTATTACTTGCCTGTATAAAGCACATATTAATGGCTTATTATGCAACAATATTCTACATCCTTTAATCACCCAATACTGAACAACTACCTAACTATTAATGAGCAGTAATTAGGAGTTTATTGAGGCAAACGTCATAGTCATAGCCTAGTTATTAACAGTGAGAATTGGATCATTGTGAGCATATACTGCTCACCGGCCACTTTATTAGGTACACCTGTCCAACTGCTCGTTAACACTAAATTTTTGTAAGCAGCCAATCACATGGCGGCAACTCAGTGCATTTAGGCATGTAGACATGGTCATGACAATCTCCTGCAGTTCAAACCGAGCATCAGTATGGGGAAGAAAGGTGATTTGAGTGACTTTGAATGTGGCATGATTGTTGGTGCCAGAAGGGCTGGTCTGAGTATTTCAGAAACTGCTAATCTACTGGGATTTTCACGCACAACCATCTCTAGGGTTTACAGAGAATGGTCCGAAAAAGAAAAAACATCCAGTGAGCGGCAGTTCTGTGGGCGGAAATGCCTTGTTGATGCCAGAGGTCAGAGGAGAATGGCCAGACTGGTTCGAGCTGATAGAAGGGCAACAGTGACTCAAATAACCACCCGTTACAACCAAGGTGGGCAGAAGAGCATCTCTGAACGCACAGTACGTCGAACTTTGAGGCAGATGGGCTACAGCAGCAGAAGACCACAACCTGGCCACTCCTTTCAGCTAAGAACAGGAAACTGAGGCTACAATTTGCACAAGCTCATCGAAATTGGACAATAGAAGATTGGAAAAACGTTGCCTGGTCTGATGAGTCTCGATTTCTGCTGCGACATTCGGATGGTAGGGTCAGAATTTGGCGTCTACAACATGAAAGCATGGATCCATCCTGCCTTGTATCAACGGTTCAGGCTGGTGGTGGTGGTGTCATGGTGTGGGGAATATTTTCTTGGCACTCTTTGGGCCCCTTGGTACCAATTGAGCATCGTTGCAACGCCACAGCCTACCTGAGTATTGTTGCTGACCATGTCCATCCCTTTATGACCACAATGTACCCAACTTCTGATGGCTACTTTCAGCAGGATAATGCGCCATGTCATAAAGCTGGAATCATCTCAGACTGGTTTCTTGAACATGACAATGAGTTCGCTGTACTCAAATGGCCTCCACAGTCACCAGATCTCAATCCAATAGAGCATCTTTGGGATGTGGTGGAACGGGAGATTCGCATCATGGATGTGCAGCCGACAAATCTGCGGCAACTGTGTGATGCCATCATGTCAATATGGACCAAACTCCCTGAGGAATGCTTCCAGCACCTTGTTGAATCTATGCCACGAAGAATTGAGGCAGTTCTGAAGGCAAAAGGGGGTCCAACCCGTTACTAGCATGGGGTACCTAATAAAGTGGCCGGTGAGTGTATACTGCATGTATGAGAATATGCATAGGCACACACACACATACCTGGATTATTAGCTACCATAGGAACTTTAATGTGTCACTATTTTGCCAGTGGGATTAAACAAGGTGTGAACAAAGCATAATGTTTGTAGCCTACCTTTAGTAAAAGTAAAGTTTGAACTGCTTTTCACTGCTATCCGCGAAGTTCTGCAGTTATGTAAACTTGTGTGGGCAAGTTACTCAATTCTATTCTCTATAGTTGCTTGCATAGCAGATCCAAGCAGTCTTGCCCATTATTCATTCCTTACCTATTAGCATAAACCTGATCAATACTATTGATAAAGAGGACACAGTACCTGTATGGCATTTCTCCTGTTGGCCCAGAGGGATCTCAGAATGCCTAAAACAGCAATACTATCTCCCCGAGGAACGTTTCTCTCATTATTTCCCTCAGAGAGGGTAAGAGTAGCATTGATATGTGTTTAATTAAAGCTAAAAATACACATGCGCTCCAGTCTCCCAAGAGAGCTGACACCGATATCTAATTGAATGCATTAAACAACAGCACAAAGTTTTCACAAACGGCCAATTACTTTTGCACTTGACTGTTTGGAGTCTTGGCTGACTTGGTTAGTCCCTTTTTTTTCAAGATGGTTTCTCCCTCTGCATTTTTCATACAAGTTCCGATCATTTCTTTCTTACTTACTCTTACTTCCTTCTTACTTATTCTTTTCTTACTTCATTTCTTTCTGTGATGGCCATGTGAAAATATCACAGTCTGGCAAATGAAAGTGAACATCAACAGAGGGCGCTGTTGAAACATTTTATGTTACATGTTGGCTAAATGGACAATCAATGTTACCTTGTGGAAGACAGTGGAAAATTATTTCAACGTTATAAATCAGCCCTTATGTCCACACACGCATTCGTATATCATTGAGACTCTAATTTTAAATGAGGCAGCATGTGAACTGACACAGAATGTTTTACCCAGTGATCTGTATACTGACATTCTAGATCAGTCGTTTTACCCCATTTCCCTTGTCAATGTGGGATATCTAATGCGCATAAGGTGCCTACATAATGAACATAAAGGTATTAATCGAAAAATGTTAACAAAAGCAGTGCCAAGTGGATAACAGACACATAAACTCTCCCAAAAGAAGACAAATGGGAAGGACACAGAAGAGAAATCAGAGATCAGGACTGAAAAAGACATGGCCAGGAGATAAAAGTGGTCACATTCTACATCTGCATTTGTTTGTGTGTGTGTGTGTGTGTGTGTGTGTGTGTGTGAGAGAGAGAGAGAGAGAGAGAGAGAGAGAGAGAGAGAGAGAGAGAGAGAGAGAGAGAGAGAGAGAGAGAGAGAAGGATACATGTGAAAATGTGAGGCAGATTGTGTGTTATTGAGGCAGCAGTGCTTTGATTCGAGAGCTGTTTCAAATCCTCTGCTTCTTTCCGTTCTCTTCCCTCTTTCTCTTTTGTTCTTCTGGGTGGCCTAACCTTCTCTCCTTTCACCAAATATCCTTCTATCACTGGACTGTGAACACCATCCTAATCTCTCTCTCTCTCTGTGTGTACAGTATGTGTGCGTGTGCAGCGAAAAAATGAGTGAAATTCATGTTCGTGAGCATCTGTCTGTTTGAACTATAGTGTATGTTAATGGTTTGTGTATGCAGTGTGCCTGTGGGATGTGATTATGTACGAGTTTGAGTGTGAGAGAAAAAGGGGGAGATGCTGGAAAGGTCATTGGGTCCAGAATATGCTTTGTTATGGTAATCATAGGATGTGATCGTCCCATATTCCTCTCTTTCGTCTTTCTCCTTTTGGCAACCCCCCCCCCCCCCCCCCAAAAAAAAAAAAAAACTTAAAATAAAATAAAAAATAATATATAAAAAAATCAAAATAAAATAACATTAAATAAAATAAATAAAATGAAATAAATAAAATTTTATTTTTACTAAAGTGTTTTTGTATAGCCTTTTTAGAACTCAGGGTATATTTATTTAAGAGTATCATAAAACAACAAAAAGAACAATTAACTGGAGAACACAAAATTAAGATGATTAAGATTAAAGATAAAACGGGCAAAAAAATCCCCATAGATTTGAAGGAGATGCCTGGTTCTTGTTGGGTTCAGAACTCTGTAGAGACTGATGGATTGGACTCTTTCAGCTTGGGACAGTAATCTCCCAGAACATCCTAGCAACCATGCAGAACCTTGCTAAAAACCACTCAGAATCACCTACAACCTGGCAACCGTCAACAAATTATGTTTTACTGTTTAATGATGTTTTTACTGTTAAATGATGTTTAACAAAGTTCGGGAGGAGCATGTTCAAATAATTAAACCTAATTAAACACATGTGGAGCACATTCAGGTAATCAAGCCTAATTGGACACGAGTGGAGCACACTCCCAATCAATGAGGTAAGAGGTATATATACAGCAAACTTAACTCAGTTCATTGTCTAACAGCATCCCTAAACCACCCCATCTCCTCACATCTTCTCCTAAATACTCTTACAACAACAGGAGGAGCAATCTTTACTCTGTTTAATTGATGTAAATGTGAACTGGTGAACCCCCGTATGGTGGTAAGTTTTGGACCTCTTGCATTTTATAAATACAATGTGAAAATCTAGTTTAGTTGTACCTTGGCTTGGGGTATGAGTGTAGTCTAAACTTTGGCATTCTTTGCTTATTGTTGGATTGTGTTGTGTTTAACCTTTGTAATCTTTTGTTTTTGACCTGTGCATGCATGGCTATGCCTGACTCAAGCAAAGCAGCAATTACCCAAGAAACACCAGCTATATCTATAAATTGTGATGATGGTCTATACTGTAGGGAAATCCAGTCTTTCTGTTTGTGTGTGTGTGTGTGTGTGATTCTTTTTGATTTGATCGGTGATCCTGCATCTCTCTTTTAATTTAAAAAGCACAGTGTAACCTATTGTTCTTTGTCTTTGTAACAAAAGTCACATCCTGAATGTGCAATGTTAGTGAGTGTGTCCAGCACACCGAGGCTGCATTTGCCCAGTGGCTGCGGTGGAGTCTGACAAACAGATGCCCTGGAGGCGTTTTCATGCGACTGTTGGGACTTTGAGTTTTATATATTAGAACAGCTGCTGCTGGGGATCAGCCAATCACAGAGATGAGCAGTCACCTCCACAGACACCTCACAAAAACCCCGGCAGAACACTGCCACAGCCAATCAGAGACAACGTGTGATAGGTCACTACCCCAGGCACATACACACAAACACGTGTATGTTTTTCACATTTTCACACTCTTTTCTTTAATGTAACATTAAGTCCATAATCAGTTCTGAGCTTCATGACAAGAAA